TGGTGAGTTGGGGGGGGGGGGGGGCTCTGGTTCAAATATCGGCCCGGAGACAGGCTACCTTTACCAAAGGTTTCCTCGTTTAACTCTGTACCTCCAGACAAATGTCCTTAAATAGATCGTAAATAGATAAATAAATAAATACAGCTATACTCACGTGGCATGATTCCCTGTGCCACAAGCTGGTTGATGGGCCGCCTCAACATCAACTTCACCTTCAGTGCTGTAACAAACAAATCAATTGTTGAGGGCATTTCGACATCCAATCGTGTGTCATCCTCGTGAAGGAATGTCTGTTCGGGCGACACATGCCAGTGTGACACGATTTAATACAGTTTACATTTCAAAATGCCCCAGACACATCCGCATCGTGCACGACATTTTCACTCGGTTAAAAAACACTTTAATCGTTAAGGAAGTAAATATTTTTATTCGATATGAATGAAACGGCTCAACACAGTTACGATACGATGAAGCAGACACTTGTAGCTAACATACGGACGGACGGACGGACTGAAGAGAATTCTTCATATTTTCAACGTCTTAAATAGCACGAGAATGTCCACTGCATGTCGTGAAAACTGAATGGCATAGAGAACAGAAAAGTCGCAAGATTTCTTTTCTGGAGATGGCATAATTAGTCTTGAATTCGGAAGACTACAAAACAAGCCCGTTCTAATTGAAATTTAATGATTTGTCTCCGTCCACGTACGAAAGCAGAGATTAAAATTGCCTCTCCGCATTCAGTCTTTAGCACTTCACATCCGATCCTTTGTAAGACTGTCCGTAACACGTGGCACACACAAGATGATAAACCGATCGAATCTTTGTTGGGAAGAAAATATTACTAACCATCAGGAAATCGAGGTACTGTTGAAAACGAAAAAAATGTGGGCGCAGCTCTCCTGCCAGCTTGATCCACATGCCGGGGCCACGCAGACACAAATTTTACCAACGGTCCATTCCAAATACACGACAAACCAAAATTATGGTAAGTGAATTAACAGCACACGCGTAAGTATCAAATGTCTCCACATCTCTCTTGGATTAAGCCACCTTACATCGTGGCCACCACATAAACTAATTAAATGAATACGACCAACAATTTAATGGTTTCTTTGTACACACTAGCGAATAGGAAATCGGTTCAATTCACAAACACGTAAAAGCGGAATTCGTGAACTGTTAGCATGTCCTTACAAAAGGACATGAACGAAACTGGGTCCTGTCAGTACAGTTCTGTCATATCACATAAACACATTCGGTTCTACAAGAAACAGAAGAAGAGCTAACCATCTTACAGGAAGCAGTACATCATGATACAAATACCAGTAACTAACTGAACGATCAGCGCGAGTATCAACACACTAAGTCTTCTACACAGCGACACTGGCTTAAGTCATCACATGCGAATAATGTTGACAAAATATCACTCTCTTAACGACACTCGTTCAGTTCACACGCAAGAATTCAATGTCCGGTCAATCATCGCCAATGTCTTGCCATTGCGTCCCAAAGACAATGCGCACATCACAAAGCTGGTCACAAGAACCCCGAACATCATTAATGCCGAATGGGATTTATCTCTCGTTCCTTAGTAAATATGACATAAATGTAACAGTCATTTCCCCTTCCGCCCCCCAAACACATTGTCCGTAAAACAACTGCAACATACGATGCGTTAACTTCACGTCTATTCGTAATAACAAGAACAAATATCATACACAGGACTGCATTTTGGCAATGAAAATGTTTTCTAAACTGATAAATATTCAAATGACACATACTTTTGGACACTTTCATTCCCCCCCCCCCCCCAAAAAAAAATCATTTATTTCAAAGAACACTTTTCAGAAACTAAATCTGCCTCGGTCACCAGGTGGAGGAATAAAGCGTGGTCTGGTGGGTCCACCTGATACAGATGCCAAACACCAGAGATTATATCAATCCAATAGACCAAGAAGATGAATTTCTATACTTGTGATGACGGAAGCGAAGTCAGCTTCCAACACGTTTAAAAAAAACTGAAGGCCCCTCCGCCCACCCCCAAAGTGTCAGCTTAAAAACACACCTTCGTCACGAAACTTTGGTCTACGTATCGATTCGTTACAGCGGCTGGACTCTTGCCAGTCGTACGACACATCAAACTTCATAATCGCGAATGACAGCCGACAGATGCGAGATGGGGCGCCGGCCCAGTAATGGCCTAAGTTTGTCTGGTACCTGACACAGTGTTGGAGGGGCGTCAGCTGATTGGTCACACGCTACTCAAAACCCAAACCACACACCAGCACGTGTGTTGATTTATATGCGTGAATGAGGCACGTTCATTTCCTTCGCAAAAGATACAGAAGACTAGCGATTATCCCCGGACGATCTAAACTTCCGACAATCCGCAGAAATGAAGGAAAACACGTAAGTTTATTTTCCGACGTGCATTACTTAAATGTTTACAGGTTTACTAATGACAGAAAGTATTTAAAAATAATATACTACACACCAACTACTTTAAAAGAAAAGATTCCAACAAATATTAATAACGTTATTTTGTAGTAATCTTCAGGTTTTATCAATACCCTATTAGGCACAGTACACATTTTTTGAAACTTTTAATGTGTTAAAATGGAAGACATGCCTGAGGCTGGAAAGTTAGGTGGAACACCTGTACAAAAACACGAATCAAAATAAACTACATATGTAACAACAGATGCAATTATAGTTTATTAAAGAAAATAAAGTATCAAATCCGAATTAAATCACAAACAAATGAAGACAGAGATTATATTTTGCTGCCGTGAACAAGAAACATTCCGAGACCAGCCAAGTGCCAGGTAAGACGTCGGACTTTCAAATTAGAACCGAAAAGTATGACAGTGTGTTGCTTGGTCGGGGACTCTCAAGAACTGGACTCTGCTTCAAGTTGTTAGTCGCAGGCATTCAGTTTGAATCTTCCCCAAAACAGGGTTTACGGAATAAGCATTAAACTGTCACAGCACCAACTTCCCGTTCATCCATATTCTACTTTCACGATTAGTCTTATATTTTTCATTTGCCACTGCATCGAACAGATGATACCGCGGCAACCTATGTCCCACATTCCTCTTTTTAAGGTTTCAGAACGTGTTAGGATTTACACCAAACTTCGTAATAACACGTGCAATACGCTAAAGACGTTTTCGAGGTGCTGAATATTTTAATGCGGCTTTTACGCCAATTAAACAAGTTAGGAAATGTACGCATAGAGTAAGAAGAATTCTAGATCGTTCGCCAGAATGTGGCCTTTGTAAAAAGACGTTAAGAAATCCACGGCTAGGAATTCCCAGTCCAGTCACATCGGCGTAAAAAAAGGCGTTTGCAGATCTTCATATGAAGGGCCCTATTTTAACCAAAATTGACATGTGTCATCAAATTTCGTTAAATCCCGTCGAGCGGTAGTCGAAACGTTGCATACATACAGACGGACACATCGATCTCTGGCGTGCAGCGCACTGAGGACGGAGTATCTGAGCTCCGATGCAGTTCAGAACGTCAGCCACCTGCACGTTACGGCCCCGTCTTCCTCTCGTCAGGCAGCGGATATCATGCGTGAGAATGATTCACAGACAAGCCAAGACCCACGTGAGCCTTCAGGACAATGACTGCCCTCACACATCAAAATACTACCGCAGGTTTGACACCCGAGACATTTTCCTGGGGTTTTACACACCACCGGACTGTCAGTTTCATTGTCGATTCTGGTCTTCTGGGTAGTCACTCATATATCGTTTCGTAGCAACATCTTCAGGACTGAAGATGAAGTAGCATGTTCTTCCGAAACGTTAGTATGTGACCGTAAATCCACTTTACCACATTGGAGATATTCCTGGCCAACTTTTCAAGGAAGACTAGCATAGCACAATGTTAGCCTACACCTATTATATTTCATGTTACCACTTCTATACCGAACATGAACGTTGGGGTAACCAATTTCAAGAGTACACAGCATCATTATGTAAAACACCACAATCCAAAGATTCAATACAACAAGATGGACACCGAACAGGATAAAACTGTCTAATTCTAACTTGCTTTAATAATTATATTGAAGCTGACATAGTCCTTCCTGTTCTACTAAAAATAATTAAATATTCGAGATCGATGGGTAATTTACAAAATTATATTCTCGGCACAGGATAATCGTGTAGCGTCTTGTGTAATAATGTGGGATGAGACTGTGACATCACGCAGCATCACACTGCAGAAGTCACAGAAATTCAGCTGTTTGCACTAACACTTTAAATCCCAGCGGTAACTTTACGCACCACCTGCTCTAACAGGCAACAACTCTGCATTTAAACTACGATGTTTATTCCTTCCAGCGTAACCCAACTTATCTTTTTAATGGAGTCGCATTGTGTTTTCTTTGAGGTAAGAACTGAAAGTTTAAAAAAGAAGAGTTTCGGCTTCGGAACATGAGGAAAGGGTGGGAGGGGGTTAAATGTAAATCGATACTTACACTCCTTGTTCTTGTCCATTGATTTCTGGAGTGGAGAATCGTCCACTTCCGCCTTCGGCGGCGACAGGGGCAACAGACCCGTGCTGTTGGGGGAGCACCCCCCCTCAGCCATAGTCGACCCCACCCGGCTTAGGTTATAATCCTGCAGCAGCCAGTAAGATCAAGATCATGAGACAAAGGGGACAAGACTACATAAACTAATAATACAGTGGAGAATAAACTAATATTTCAGAGCCTTACGTCCACCACTCAAAGTTCTTACAACAGGAAGGCTAAACCGAATGTAGCAGGAATTTCCAAAGGTAAGAATTCTGTTTGACGATGTCTTCTGGGATGTTGCGCCGTGCAGACTTGTAAAAAGAAGTCTGCCGACATTTCAGAGTGTTTGATGCCTCCATTATCAAGGCGATGAAATGGTCATCGCCCTGATGATGGAAGCAGCAACCACTCTGAAACGTCGGTAAACTTCTATACGCGGTGCAATATCCCAAAACAGTCGTCTTCCGGGATCTCCGATGATTCCGGTAAGAAATAATCGGTAATAATTTCTTGATTCCCGAATATGTTTATTGAACAATTTCACAGGAAGCGTTAAGAACAATTCCTGACAAAATGTTTATTATGTACTGGAACGCCAATCGATATCGAGACGCCATTTACATGTATAATGGTTTATCGATTTATGGCTTCCAAATCCGCTCAAGCCCAACATAAATCTAGTCTTAAACACTGTATATATTCTTTATCTGCATTACCAATACTTAAAATATAAAGTACAATAGCAAGCTGTGCTTCTAACCACAACTTCTAAAATTATTTATCCAGTCCTAAACACTGACAACTGCTTCTATTTGCATTACACAAATGTCATGGTTATTTATACGTTTCCTCCTTCCTAATAACAAACAGAAATATCCTACAAATTTTTTGGCGATGGATAGAGTTCCTGTTTCTCAGGACTTTCGAATAAGCACGAGCAATTTTCCACTGCAAAGAAATTGCGGATCATAGCGAAACGCCAAATTCGTATTTAGGCCAAAACAGACATTTTCCCCGATATAACGTTCAATCGATTATGGATACTGCGTTCCTAATAAACTAGTAACTTACAGTTAATCACAGCAAGATTACTTCAGCGTCGTATAATACTATTATTATGTTCCTACATTTTCCAATGTTCTTAGAAAACTCGAAAAACATGACGTCCACTCCCAACTTCAGTTAATTGTTTTGCTATTAGAGTAATATCTTGTTATTTCAAGATTAGTGACGATTGTTATATCTGCAGTTGTAAAGCGCTGTTCTGGTAATTCGCGTTACTAGTTCTCATTCTGTAGACCTTGAACGCAGTAACTCTTTTACAAGTGACAGAACTCCGACTGTCCAGCCCGAAGACAACTATTTTTGCTACTGAACTATTATCCTTGTATGCCTGCTAGGTATCAACGTTTGACAAAAAAACTGTCTTCATTTTAGGAATTCCTGAAAAAAAGTCTTATTTCCCTGCGCCTACAGTGCTTTTTTCATTCTTTGTTCTCACTGCACACATTACAAAAACTTCACACAAAATTTCTGTTGACTTTGTCCGGAAAGCAACAACGAGAACGCCATGTTTGGTGTCTTAAAGCACTCATATTTCAATGTATAATAGCTACAGCAGGTACAAGCGTCTTAATTTTAATTCTGAGAACTCTGCACCAAACCAGAAGTTCCTGAAGATGCAAAAAAGCGTAATCTGTATTCTTGTTAAGATTCTACGACGGAAGGCAAATGCGCGACTGTAAACAGCTGGCTGCTGTCGCAATACTGCCTCACCTTGAACCACTCCGGGTATATGGCGATGATTGTATCCAGCAGATCCTGGTCCAACTGGATCCTCCAGAACAGATTCCCACTATCCAACCGGTGCCCAGACTCTGCAAAAACGAACAGAAACAAATTCAATGTAATGCATACAACGGAGAAAGATATTACTTGTTAGGTTGGATTAATGTAAAATGTACGTTTACGAACGCCAACCTTGAAGGAACCCCAAATTTATGCACGCGAAGACACCCACTTTCAGCTTCCAGTCCAACAAACCGATTCCAATACACCGATGTTTTTCAAGAGACTACTGGCGTGGCCTGGCGAAAGCAGTTGTTACCACTTTACGACCAGCGACGTAGGTGTCGGTCGCAAACAGGTAGCTAAGATATTCTGAACTCACTTCTGGTAATTTGTGTTTCCTCTGCCAGTTACAGCTTCACGCTCCTTTGCAATTATCGTCTTCATCAGGAGCTGGTACAATAAGCCCATCTGAGATCCTAGTCTCGCTCTGCTATATATCCTATCATCTAACCTTGGAACACGAGTTAATATTATAATCTGAATCGTAAGTCATTACTATTATCATACTGTTACGGGAACGTTATGGTGCACCGGAGACACGAGAGTTAAGAGATGTGAGTGTGGAGACTATCGCGCGGCGGGCAACGGACGGCAAGGTCATCCATCATCAAGACCACATCTCAACATCTCCAGGTAGTGGTCCTGCCTGTCCTACCTACGCAGCAATTAAGAGATTTGCATGCTGGCCGAGTCAGCCTCGAGGCTGCACATCAAAAACCTGGAGAAGGAAACAAGGCGTCTTACTCGCCTATTTAACGTTTCCTCATCCGTGCAAGAAGCGTCTCCTCGAGGGAGGTAACACACTACCTAGAATATCCGACGTTATATTGTCTGAGTTACTGGCACAGTCGTCAAATAAACCACAGACAAATAAAAAATATATAGTACCTTAAATCCATTCGTTAGTTTCGTCGACTGGAAGCTGGAGAAATTCTTGCTGCGTTGTAAAGCCAGAAACGTTTCACACCACCCAGAACACGGAACCAGAAAGTGTATACAGACTTAGTGCATTTTATATTTTATCGTTCATTTCCTCACAAACAGCCCATCGTAACAAAAACTGTGTAGGAAATAAAAAGTTTATTGCATCCACCAGTCATGTAAATGTTCTTCCAAACTTTATTGTGGATTCTGCCAGAGCAGACACGGCCAGTTTGAAGATGGTTTTACCGAACGTCGTGGCTGACTGGTTAACATTCCTATTTCGTAATCGGCAGGTTCCGTGGTCAAGAAAGGCTCGTAGTCGTATGTGTCCGTGACATCGGGTAAATGATGGGAATGTACCTCAAAATACATCGCAACCGTTTCCTTCCAAATCCCGATTCATCATCCATACCACTGCAATAACCAATGCAACTGAAAAACGCTGTGTGGGTGTAAACCCAGTAACTCGCGTGCAGACAAGAACATCGACTGCGGGTGAGATTTCATATCCTCACGGCAGCGAGTATGAAGCTGGCTGTCCTCTGAGTCGTTGCGCCATGTAGTCTGGTAGAAATTGACCGACGTTTCAGAGGCGCATACTGCCTCCATCATCGTCCTGATGACGGAGGCAGTTCATAGTCCGAGCACGTCTAAACCTGGTCATGCGCACACGATACATGAACACAGAAGCAATTTATACATCCGAAACTTTGATATCCACCAACAACATTACATGTTATCATAACCGAAAAGACGATAACTTGTATGTAACTATAGTTTCGTGTTTGTATTTACAAAGTTTCACCTTCAGTGCAGACAGTCCAGAAGTAATCTTTTATATCTTTTAACGATCACCAACTTTCATCTAACATTATAACAAATATCGTTAAGCCTGACTTCAAAACACTGGAACTAGCGACTATTAAAATACGACCGACAGTTTAGAAAAGACGTGAAAATTCTGGAGTGTTCTTTACCGTAAAGTGCGTGGGTGTCGAAGGGACGACGTGGATGCAGGCGTGCCCAAGGTCGCTAGGTTTCTGCCAGGGTGGGGTCTGTATAATATTACGTTACTGCACCCAAAAGCAACACACCCCTCTGCAATGAGACACAGGATTTTAAACAACCAGGTAACATAAAGGCACTTCACAACTGGGATGTGTCTACAGGTGAGATTAATGAACTTAGAGCGCGGATTGTCTGTTCATCAGTACCTAACACTAAACAGTAGTTAATGTGAGACTCAGGTTATCAAGGCAGTGACAATGACGACATTCTTCTGGATGGTGACGTCATGCAGATCGTAGGTACATACCACCGTTCCCGAGGAACATGCTGTCTTCATGTTCAGAGTTGAACAACATCTACAACGTAGAGACGGCTGGCTTCCGGGTCGTTGCTCAGTGTAGTCTTGTTGAAGTTTACCAACGTTTCAGGGGTCCCCGAAGCCTCCATCAACAGGGCGATGATGATGGAGGTAGCAACACCTCTGAAACGTCTATAAACTTCTACCACACTACACGGCGCAACGACTCAGAAGACAGCCAGCTTCATACTCGCTGCCGTGAGAACCTCAAATCTCACGCTGACAACAGTTAACGACACCATTGCCTCAAATAATCATTTGCACTGCGAGCGAGAGCTGGATTTAATAATTGCTGGGGGATTTATTTTGGAAATGTAGTTCTAAGCCAAATTATTTAGCAACTGAAAAATTAAACACAACTGTGACTTCGATACTACGTCGACTGACACCAAGCCACACCATCTGAAATATAAACGGGGTTTCGATTATTCTCGAAACCAAACACGAAGGGATGCTATCGACTGTGGTCTTTGGGGTTCTGTTGCCACGTGATTACAAACATTTCTGAGGAACAAACAGCTTCCATCCTCAACCATGATGATGGAGACGACACGTTCTCCCCAAAACGTTGGTAACCACTTATAAAACCACACGGCGTCACAACCCAGAACACCGCCAATGATACATTTTCAACTCCTAAAAGGAATAAATATACCGGTTCCTTAATAAAAACTGTGCAAGGGTGTGGATTCAGCTGCTCAGGACGGGTTCTTTTGAGCACGGCAATAAACCTTCGGGTTCAATAAAATGAGGGGGATTTTTGATCAGACGCCCAGATTCTCAAAAAAGGATTCTTCTCCATGAAATTAGCAATTGTTAACCAGCCCCCTACATGAAGCCAGCATACAGTTAAGTTGCAATAAATAGAATTTCATTTCTATATCAACGTCTGTAACGTGTAAAGTGAATTCGTACCAACTTCTACCCACTGCACAGTTATGTGACCGCGCCTCGTTCCATTACGTCAGCTCGAAACAAGCAGCTAAACAGAGACTGTCAAATCACACAGCTTTCTTCGAAAACACATTCCTGTGTTTGACATCTTAACGTAAGTTTGAATTGGGAATAAAAGTTTGCGATCTGCAAACATGTCACATTTAAATCTGACATAATATACATAGAAAAACAAAGGAGGCAAGGAATACGAAAATGTAATTTTGACCTCGTGTTCTAATTATTTCGAAGTACATGTGGGTGTGAGACCGACTTCAGGGCTCTTAAATATTCGTCTTAGAATCTTCCCATGACAATAATTTGACTTCAGCTTCGATATGTAATGAAATATTAGAAGTTGCAATCTTTAATATCGATATGCACTCACTGACAGAGGTCAAATATAACCTTGCAGGTCCATGCTATAAACACGTTTCTAGCTTTTAATAAACTAAAACGTGAACCTTGCCTCCCATTTCAATCCAGTGCTGAGATTAAGAATGTGTGGAGTTATACCTCCATTCACCCAATACGTCTGCAAGAAACCACAGAAAGAAAATGTAAAGTATATACAGAATTAAACCTCACGCCATATATATTTAGGATTAAAGCCTAAAATGTTGGTCTTGGAAGACAAAAGCTTGTGCAGAGTTTAATTAACTTAAACATATCATCAGTTCCTGTTCCATTTTAAGCGCGTTCGCGACCTGCGGAGTGCCTATTAAAATCACTCCCCCAGACCGCGTATCTATCTGCACGCACGCAGCCACTTGAGAGACAAACCGCTTTCTATAGTTTTTATTTTTTAAATTTGACCGGGCAATTTTATCGATCACTTTATACATTAAAACAAAACACGTTTTTAATCTCATGTTGATGTGGCTGCAGACCACAATTAGATGGTTACCATCGTTAGCTTCGGAAGGGGGATCCTCCGTGATGACGTAAGTGCCTAGCAAGACTCATCGCCCAAGCAAAGGTAACTGATCCCGAACAAATCTGACGTTACTGGAGGCATTCTTAAAGATTATAAGATCAAATTCGGACAAAAACACCAAAATTAACATCTTTGTATTTTATAAACAGACTTCTACGCTATAACCGTAAGAATACACAATACAATCGAATTTGCTAGTCACCGAGGTTCGATGCGAACCTGGGAGAACCAACGGTTAACAAGATGTAAGCAATGTAGACAGACGTGGCGTAGAGATTTCACTGTGGCCGAGATATTACTATGTAGCCAGCCTGGGAATGAATCAGTCGGTGAATTAGGATCCAAAAGTACATAGAAAGTAGTCACATTTACGTAACCACCAGCTCAGTTTGGCAGACAAGCGTGTGAAAGATCATGAGTATTCGCGGGGTTACTGCCAAACAGTCGCCTCTGCACATGGCAGACTTTCTTGCTGATTCCGGGTTTTGCCTGCTCTTTCTCGCACCCTTGAGTACAACCATCCTGTTCTCCCAATCAAATACATCGGCAAGTGTTGGAAATTCGTGTTCAATCGAAAGGAAAATAACGGAATCTGTAAAGAATAAAACAGGCAGCGATTTTACGGCGCCAGTCAGGTAACCAGTCCGACGGATGCAGGACACGAACACACAGCGACACGTAATCTAATTTTGTTACTTGCCAGTAAGCCCCGCGTGTTGGAAACGAGGTCAATATATTCAAGGCATCATAAATTAAATCATATTTTAAAAATGGAAGTTCATCAATTCGTAGACCTAGTGACAAACACGCGTTTCCACGCAAAATAACCCCCCGGTTTGAGCTACGTCATAGTAAGAGATGGAAGG